TCGGAAGAAATCGTCCATTCCAAAACTTCTGTAAAATAAATGTCTTGGCATCTTAGATTTCTAGCTAAGTATATTTAATCAGTTATTTCCAGTAGATACATTAATATTGTCGCTGGTTGGACATAAGGCTGTCCACGCGAGCGGTACGGCACGGGCCAGGGCGCACGGCACGCGCGCAGATTTATCAGGTATAATTAAAAGGCGGTACATTAGCGAGCGGGTGCGTGCCCAGCGTAGCACCGCAGCTGTCGTTGCGTGTACTGCGCTTGGCAATATTGAACGTATGAGTTAGAAAAGCAATATACATTCACTATTATGTATTAGTACAAGTAACCTATATTTAATTCAGTTAATACTTAGAAGAAACTTTGTTTTTTTACTTAGTTTTTACAATAAATTATTAATTTATTGTAAGTTAATATTTATTATTTTGAAATACAACAATTCAACTTGTATATATATATATATATATATATATATATATATATATATATATATATATATATTATATATATATGTATTTAGTTTGATATTGTCAATTAAATGTCATCATTTCAAGTTTTCAAATGATTAAAACTATAGTAATAATGATTATTTATATGATTACTAACAAAGATGTTTTTATACGTTTACTCTTATAATATTAAAAAGATGATTAGTTTTTAATTGTTACTCGTTAAAATATAAGTTTACTGGAACAATTTTCTCAATACCAAAAATCTTTTTTTTTAGAATTCAATATTGAAGTATCAAAACCACTCGCAACTATTTCTAAATCGCGTGACGTATCGTGATTGTCTAAGCCTGACAGATGTGTGGCGGAATGTACCTAATTGTTTGCCGTAACTTTACATTTTATATCAGTCTGCGCACCCCAATGTTAAGGATTCATTCACCTCGTCAGATGTTCAATGGGCCGAGTTCGGGGGTCGGAAGTAGGTTTTTTTTGCAGAGAAAGTTCACTTTTATAGAATTGATTTACCGTTCAGTTGTTGCAAATGGCGTTGATTTTTATTATTCGCAATTCTATTGCTTGTACTTCAGGCATAAAAATAACATGTTATGTCGTGATAAGTTATTAAAAAAATACTTATTTTTTTTAAAAACTAACATAATTTATAAAACATATTTTTAAATCAAAACATCTTTTCAAAATAATCTGAACAAACATTACCTTTGTATCGAAACTTATGCAAATTAAGTCTACATTAAAAAATGCAAAACGAAATAGTTGAACAAAATCGATTCTTAAGGTGTAAAACTCCTAAAAATAAATAATGAAAAACCTTACCTAATCACGCACAAAATAATTATGCTACATCTTTTTATTATATATTTTCTTGTTAAGTCCTGTATATTAGACGTTTTAATAACAATTAGCGTTCGAAGTTAATAATTATAGGGATCGTCTAAAAGTCCTTCAAAGTTTCAAATCTTCCTTGCTAAACCATCATTCAACGCCTTCTTAATTACTCTGACAGAAAATTAATCAATGCTTTTTAAAATAAAACTTTTAGAAATATTTTGTTTAATATTTAGGATCACACTTATATTCATGTAATACAACTTATCTTACTTATTTTTAATGTCATATATTATTTCATTTTAAAACTTTCCAATAAACCTTCGACTACGTGAAGCAGTGAAGCAAAAAACCAATCAACATTACTTTTTTACAATTTTTCTTTTTATAAGAAAAAATATTTTACAATTTATCAAGAAAAATTATATTTTTATAAATTATAGAAGAAGGCATCATAAATATAAAGCCAATGGTGAATCAATTTAAAAAATCGATTCGTTAATAACGTACAGTGTAGAAATCTGTACTTCATTCGGCTTAAATTTTTATCTATCATCTCCTTTTTGAAACCAATCGTTATTACCAACATATGCCAACTGCGTATGGCAGAGAAAGCTTAGAATTGATTTATTATGTTTATAGACAAAGTTATTAAACAATTAAGATAAAAGAAAATATATATCAAGTATGAAAATATAGGTAGTAAATATCCATATTCGTTAGATCGTTTTTGCATCTATTAGATACATTTTGTTTCAAATACCGATAAAGCAATGAATAAGAAGCCAATATAGTAAAATTGTGAAAGCCCTAAATATTTCTCTAGTTTATGCACCACGGGCCGTGGCCAGTATCTATAAATATATGTACAAATAGGCGAAAACAAAAGAGTTCAGTACTTTTTTCTCCTCTATTTTACCGTTTTTCTTTTAGTGTCTTGTTTAGCATCTATTGACGAGCTTTATCTAAAAAATTTTTTTGTTGTTATTATTAAGTTGGAAACAGTGAGTTTTTGATGTATGATTTTCTCCATTTTTCAATAATGGTTATGGTCGATTTTTAGCCCTATGGCTACATGGTACATGTATATGGTACATGGGTACACGAGTAAAATACGAATACGTGTATTATGTTATAATTAATTAATTTACATGAGCATGCAAGACGCGTTTCACCAATGTGATAACATCTCATCAGTAATTATGCGAGCGCTATTAATTAGGACATTCCCTTAAAGGGTACATATGTCGTCCACTCCACAAATAGACATAGCACCCCTTCACATGCTAAAGTATTATAAAATAATATTATTATATTACTTACACAATATAATATATTATTTAAAAAACAGATACTGCTGTAGATTCAACAGTTTTTAAAACGAATTATTAACTTAGTTTTTAATTAATTTCAGTAAACGTATAAAAAACTTATAAAATAATTGATATATAAGCACAATAATGTCTAATTAATGAAAGTAAAAATCGTTTATTAGATAAACCAACTACAAAACGTGAAGAGTTGAATAAATAAAAACTCCATTCATATTCAAACATCAGACTGATTCATTCATACTACAGCAAGTGGAAGTCATGTGATATCGCGCCCTTAAGGAAACAGGTCAAGGCGGCACCTGTTGCACCCTTCTTATACTTGGGGTAGGAATTAGGGGAACGTGCTTATGATTAATTTTACAGGTGACCTATGATTGTTGGCCGTGACTGCGTTATTAATATTGAATATCTACAGATTTCTTAGAAATTTTTATAAGAAAGTTATTTATGTTTTGTTTGTTTGCGAAAATATTTTAAATAGTGTAATTAAACTATATCTATATTTTAAAGGTTTCATTCCAAGATGTGAGCGCCGGGTCTGAACATTATTACGTGATTTGTTCCAACTTTATACGGCGGTTTTTCGCGAACCATTATCGGTAATATACCGAATAATAATACCTATCGGTAACCGATTGAGCGGTTATACAAAATATTATGGTGGAATAAAAACAAAGAATAAGAAGATATTTCGGCATATTAAGATATACCGTTTTTTATGCATATGGATATCTAAGCCCTCGTTTAGTTCTTTTTTACTTTTTAGTGCCTGGAAGTCAGTTTTTTTTAAGTTTTTATTTTTCCATTCCATTCCATTCCATACATATTCGATTAAGCCATTTATTTAAAAATAATTTATTGTTGGTTTTTTAAAACCGCTCCACCGATTTCAATAAAATTTAAATGTGACTACCTGGGAAGTTATATACTTCCCAAGTGGTCACATTTAAATTTACCAAAAAAAGAATTTTCTAAATCGTTTCAGGCGTTTTCGAGTAATCGGTGAACATTAAAAAAAAGATTCTGACGAATTGAGAACCTCCTCCTTTATTGAAGTCGGTTGACAAAGCGAAAAATCTATTGAAAGAAAAAACGATGACAACTAAATGACAAGTTTTAATAGCCGTCGTGCCAAATGTTATTTTGTACTGCTTAAAAAACAATGTTTCTATATTATTATAGAGTATATTATAATGATTATATAATTAGTCATTTGTCCATAAATTAGTATTATTTTGGAGGCATTGAAGTTTTCAACTAAGTAATCAGAATTATCGTACACGTCTAAGCTCGGTAACAGCATAAATTATGCAAACATTACCTGGCTAGCTTTTATACAGGTATAATAAGGAAACAAAACAGTCTTTAGGGTCTAGTTCTATAGGTATTTACTGATAAGTACACTCTACGTATTCATCGGAGCGAGTGGAATGCGGGTACTTAGTATTATTCTTCGCTTTACAAACCGTACTTGTAATAATGAGAGCCCTTGTAATCAAACTCGTTGCGATGCTATTTTGTAAAACTATACTTTATCGTTATGCCATTTTATTAAACATGTCGTAACTAAGTTTAGGGATCTTTTATTTTATTTCGCTCCCATTTTTTTATTACATATTCCTAAGGACCTACCTACATGAAGTGATAGGCTGAAATATTCATTCTTACACTATAACAATTTATACATTATTATCCTTCAAAGAGCTTAAAATTATAAAAGAAAATATTATAACGCACCTTACGTATATAAAGAACCATTTAATCCATCCGCCTTATGTTAATGTTAGGCTTTAACGAGTATTCAGTTGACGAAACTTAATACTGTTGTGGTGCATCCCCTTTAATGCTATGCCAATGCATTATCAGATTGCGGCATTGACAATCATTACGAGACAAAACACTAACCCGTAATTGTGATTGGTATCAGCGATCAGTTACTTCGGATAAATAGTGTGCCATTAAATGGTTTATAAAATATATATAGGTAATAATAATTTTATTTCTATTGTAAAAGGATAATTCAGAAAAACTACAAATATGGCAATATAACTGTAAACATATAATATTTAATACACATTATCTCCCTATCTTCTCAGACGTTTTTGACTTTTAGTTCCTGACGTCTCTTCTATGACCAATGACCTATGACTATGATGAATGAATGTTTGTTGCAAACGCCTCCAAACATCAGAAATTAAATATCGAAATAAATCCGAGAAAAAAATCCTACGTGAAAGAGAAAATCACAAGTTATACTTGTAACTGAAATATAGTATTGCACTTTAGCGTGATAATATTATTAAAGTTTTATCAAGTGTATGCAAATAGGTTGTTAATACGAAATCCCCGGGCACATTATCTCAATGTACCGTATCTGCCCGTATAATGGGTTGATAGGGCAGCTGTGCGCCGTGATACGGGCAGGTGTGCTCAAGCTGTGGGTGCTGCTTCATGCTAGCTCGCGTGCTGCCTGGGGTGAATGTGGAATTATTTATATACGACTATAGATAATCATATATAAGGCAATGGCCTTTGAAAATATCTTTGTCATTCTGTAAGTAAATATTTATGAATTATGAGTGTTCGATATTCGACCATGATCTTCTTCGAAAAATTTGAGGTTAACATAATATATGAATAGAATTTACCTATCTATATTAAAAAAACTGTTCCTGTGAAACTGTTAATTAACCAACATACACCACTTTCACATTATGTAATTTGATATTGTATATATTAGAGAAGAGAGCATTTTTATTTAAATAAAACTACTTTTATTGTCAATATTATTTGTATTTACCGTAAATTGCTGCTCATGGATATCGTACCGGCAATCATCAGCTACATTATGCTTCGTATGTCTTAAATAATATGTTTAAGTTCAAATAAGAAATATAGAATTATAGCTTCTTACATTTACTTTATAATTATCAATTATTAGAGAATCTATCATCAACTCTTATAGCGACTCAATTTGCGAACTGAAATGAATAGATTCGAATCCATCGATGCGAAGGCGTTCCTTTTGGGTCACAGCCTAAACAAAATCTGAAATGAACCACAAATGTCATTCATTCAATTTGCACGATGTGATTTAATTACGATTCTACTTACAATGCTGTTGATGGTACGAAAACTACCCTTAAATTATCTAAACTTAGTTTAAGAACTTAAACTGTATCGGAAATAAATCGCTATGTACAATTTGATTTATCTGATTTTCATTATATATGTAAGAATACTTTTAAGGCTTCCACGTTCTATTAAGTATATCAAACATTCGCGCGTGGTAAACGCGACGACGGCTTTACAACACACTTTTTAAACTCGCCACTTTGATGATTCAATAATAATACCTTACATATGATTGTGTATAAAATCTCAAAATAACGGTCGGTGGATTAGAAGGGCACACATACACGGCCCCCTTAAAGCGTGCGCCGAAAAACACAATAAAATAATCCTGCGCTTTGTACGAAAATTCATTGTATGTACTGTCGACAAAATCTTATAATAATAAAGAAATACTTATACTCAATTAATAGTTCATGTATTTTTCTTATTAATTGAATAATATTATAAAAGTAGGTATATTAAAAAGGTTCTGTTTTAAAAAATATTATATTTTTAATAAACGTGTTAAGGAAAAGTACGGCTCCTTTATCCCATACAATATTTACGTAGGAGGTGTGGAATGGATGTAGTCATAAGTCTCATTTGATTTTTTTATTAAAGTGTATTGTTGTAGATATCAGTTTATAATAACATATTTGTAGCTTTATTTGCAGACCGTAGCAAGGTGCATCGCGGGAGACGCGTGCGGCGCGTGGCGCGCGCGTGCGCACACAGTTCTGCACTGTCATGGCCGACGTTTTCAGGTGCTCTTTATTTTTTTATTTTATTTTCTACGACCGATCAACTATGAATTCTCCAAACTGCACTATTATGTACGAGTATTACCGAGGGGACATATGAAAGAATGCGTTCGTGTTTACATGAAATATTTCTACGGCTTTATGGTTGCTATTAGCTCCTATGGGTTAGATGAAAGATATCTTTATTACTTGATTTATTTTAACTTCACTAAATATAGTGTTGATCCTTAATATCAACATAAGCCTAATTAATATTTAAAAATATTGTAAAGGTTCTAATCAAAACAGTTCTATCTGAATTACGGTATTTTTGAACCTATAGGTATCCTAGCATAAGTAGTTTAAATCGTTTCATATTAAAAATGACTACTGCTTTTCGACTTCCACTACTTCAATCAGAGAATATAATTTGTTTTCAACAATTTCGTTAATTGGGCAATATTGTATAGCCAGCTATTATATGCATGCGATGTGCTTTACCGATGCACCGGGCAGGGGTGCGAGTACGAACTGTCAGTTACAATCAGTTGATAAAATCCCGCACACCTGCACCAGGGTGCGTCGCCAGGCAACACCGCTGATAAACAAGTTTTATCGTAATTTAGATGGGCTTCTGTTAATAAGATGGACATGTTTTATATTTATTGTTATTTTAAATTTGGATTTTAGGAGGCCTTATAACTTTATCCAAAAATATTCATAATAGCACTTTTATATTATACAGAAAAATAAGCCATTAACATAATATATAATATTAACTAAAACATTTTAAATAAAACTATGTTTTCGGATTCTTTCCCGGATTTATTTTGATTTTTGGTTCCCGACATTTGGAATGCTTTACAGCAATCATGGTCACGGGAAAGACTAAGCTTTAAGATGTCTCACAAGCTTCATATAGTTGTAGTAGTGTAAGTATTATGGTATGACGTATATATTATTCAGTATATAATCAAGTATTTGTTATAATAAAGAGTAGTCTTGATTCAAACTTCGTTCGTTTCACTTATCCCACTACTCTCATCGTACCTACATAGTTGTTACAGACATCCTACCCACAAATTAATTAAAACATTGTTATAGTGTAAGTTACTTATTTATAATTGTTATTACAAGTTTACTAAATTATAGTAGTACATATAGAATAGTGTATGAAATTATTTCAGCTTCAAAAACATGTAACCTCAGCCGCTGAATTAATTGCATTTAATTATAAAGTTATCAGAAGTTGGTGAGGTGCACTACAAATTATGAAAGAGCTAAAAAATTTAAATTGATTTTTAATCATAAATGAAACGACAGTAAAAACTTTAAAAATAAAAATAAAACCGACTTCCAGGCACTAAAATGTAAAAAATATCTGATTAGGTATCTATTCTAAATGAAAACCCCCGTTTATTTATTTTTTACATTTTAGTCAGTTTTATTTATTTTTTTAAGTTTTTATTTTTATATTTTTAGTGTATACGTAATAAGCAGGTAATTTGTAGCAAGAAAGTTTCTAATAACATATTCGATTAAACAATTTGTTTAAAAAAAAATATTTATTGTTGATTTTTTTTAAAACCGCTCGACCGATTTCGATAAAATTTATATGGGACCACCTGGAAAGTATACCATTTCAAACAAAACAAAAAAAATCCAAATCAGTTCAGGAGTCTTTGAGTAACCGGTGAACATACATAAAAAAAAGATTCCGACGAATTGAGAACCTCCTCGTTTTTGGAAGTCGGTTAAAAATACTTATTGTTTGAATATATGTCTAGTATTTGAGTATACAGTCTTTTTGTTGTTAGAAATATTCTTAAAATGATTTATTTTTTGAGCTAAGCTCACTTTGGTACATAACAATTAAATTTAACTAATGTACCTACTTGATTAACAAGTTTAAATCTATACATATAATAAAGTTTAAAATAAGCTGAATCTGTACATTAAATATTTTTTGGAAAATCTTATTGAAATAGACATTATTATCGATACAGATGTCGAATCTATAGTTTTTAGAATTTTTGTCTGTCTGTCTGTTACCGCATCACGGAAGAACCACTGGAGGGATTTTGATGAAATTTGGTATGATGATAGCTGGTTATCCGGGTCAACATATAGAATACTTTTTACCGCGGGAAAATATCTCATTTCTGAGAAAAAATACAAAAACTACAATGTAAGAGTATACTAATATGTAAAACCTAAAAATTTGGTTTTTGGTCATTTGAACGCGAGCGGAGCCGCGGGTAATGCTAGTATCGTATAATTTTAATAAATAGGTATCATAATATTTTCTATACTGTACTTTTTAGTTATTTATAATGTTTTATTTTATGTATGACCGCTTCCGGTAATCAGCGTTTCTAGTGACACATTTTTCATAATATAAAGGACGTCCATAAAAGGAAGGACATTAACACAGGAAAAGAGTAACGACTATCGATATTCCTTTTTTACCATCTCACATGTTAGCTCTCACGTACCACCCTAGCATTGTTGTAAACAAAAGCGTGGAATACAATAACGGCGCACGCGCATCTGTCACATGGGGCCACGTGATTGGTGGACGTGCACCCTCGCCACTGATTTTCACGATGCACTCTGTTCGATACCAAAATTTGATGTAACGGCAAAATCTATATTTTGGAGAATATGCTACCATTTTTACGTAAAGGCGCGGGAGAAACCCAAAGGAGGGTTATTAAAAAAAGTTATGGTAAGTTTTATAAATTGAGATGAATATAAGAAGTTTATGTAATTATTAGGTATTGTCGATAGATTAGCAAGCGAAATAAGTACATATATGCTTCAGGATATTTAGAAGTGAAACTTTTTCTTCGAATTCCTAATACATCTTAGTTACACCTACAAAGGCAATTTGAATAAAGGATGAGAGTGAAGTTAAAAAATAATGAGCACACGTGTGATACGACAAATCGTTGTACTTTAGATCCACCTACATACAATAAATATTTTATAATTTAACAATATTATGAGAAACATTATTATAACGTGGCAATTACGTGCAGGGTTCGCGGATACTTCAATGTGTCAATGGCATACATCCTTCCGACGATCGGGTTCCCACGACTACACCGCAGGGAACGCTTAGACACGGCAGTCTCATCAAATATTAGTTTAGTAATGCTATAACGATATTTGCTATTCGTATGTCTTTGTACATGTACATAATGTACACTACTACAGCTAATGAACATTTTAAAAGATAAATTTGGTCAGGATTAATTAAACGGATTTGTCATTAAATGTGTCGCAAAGTAAGTATCTAAGGAGTGCAGCAGATTACAATCAAAGTTCTGACTGCATATACCAAGGCTCCCATCTGGCTAAGATAGAAAATACTAGAAAAACTTAATGTCGATAAATATGAAAGGTGAAAATGAAGAACGAAGTGAGACGTCGCAGGAGGAACACGTATTTCGCGGCGCCATCTCTGTAATATCGTGCATATATTTCGATAGATCGATCCAAAATAAGACGAATACGAATAATAATTTGCCGATATCTTACTTAATAGTCTAACCAATGTCACTATCTTTTTTGTTCCGTAAAAACAATTGATTTGAAAAAAAAAACAATATAGACCTAACATTTTGTTTAAATAAAATCTAACATTTGTATATCCTAAGCCTTTAAATTCCTATAATATATACCTGCATATACGTAACTCTTCTTCTAGTGAACATGATTTGTTCCTAACCAAGTAAATAAAGTTTATATTACATATCAACGATGTAATCGTTTCATTATATACATTTTAATCATACTTACAGCTACACTGAATACTCATAACGCTCATTTTTATACACACTTTAGAATAGCTTTGTAATGTATGAGAACAAAACATATGATATTTGTTATATATTTGGGTATGATTTTCTATTTTTCATTGAATCTATTGGCGTAACGAATTTACGTAGGTGTTCCCACGGGATCATCTAAATTAATGATTATAATTTAAATAACAAAACTGTACAGTGTATAGTGAACTATGAGTATTATATATAGTATTTCAGGGTTGAACACATATTATAAACATTTTAAGAAAAAAACCCATTGCTAAGTTTGACATTCGTATTTTTTTTATTGATTTTGAAGTTGTTTTGTTTTTGATTTAAATATCTTATATCTGTTTCATTCATATATCTGTTTTTATGAATCAGTGCTGTTGATATCAGATATAATATAGACATAATAATAATAATATCTGAAAGCACAATAAGGACAAGTTTATCAACAATGTAATGCTTAGAAAATTTTATTATCTCATACCTTACCTGCAAGCTTCTAACTGATTAATATTTGGGGGAAAATATTTTAATATAGTGATGACGTTCCTCATAAAGTGATTTTTATTTTAACCGTATACATTTATATATGTATAATATGAACAGTATTTTTGCTAGAACCTACCCCGAAACCTCCACAATAGATACCATTATCATTCAAAATATGGTCTTAACTGAAACAACACTTAATAATAAAGTAATATTTGCAATATTCTAAAGTTTAGTTATTTTTTAACAATAAGGTATTGTAATTTGTAATCGATATTCCCGAGTAGTTCAATTACGCGTACTTACGGTAAGCGATACCGGAGGATGCGCGGGCGCAGAGCTTCCGGCGCGTGCGCGAGTGGGGCTTCCCTGTTCCGTCGCGCCGGGTGTACTTTGAGTAGGCTACTAAGAGGATATATACAAGGTGTCACCCTCAATTTTGGTCATATAATAGAAATTAAAAATATTTTCCTTTACAGATATTTAATTTAAGGAATATAAATTTATTGGATTGACTTTTATTTATATTTATTAGGTTAGGTTGCTAAAGTTGCATCCAATAATTAATTCTTTGTTTCAATATTTTTATTGTAAACAAACAACATGTGTGCATAATCACCTTAATTATATCAACTTTTTCTCATATTTAGAATATATTAGGCAAATAAATAATTTGCATCAAAAATTAAAAACAAATAATATATACGAATAATA